ACCCTGACTGAGGCTTTTATAGGCTTCAGACAAGCCGTCACCATGACGACCTCCAATTATTTACTTCCTTTTCTTCAGTGCAGTAATGCAAAATACACAACTGCAATGCAACGCTCTGCCTTTTATGCGTTCATAATAATATTATTTTCATTACAACTGAGTGCATTTTCTCAAATTCTACCAAAACAAATCCAGATGTTTAAAGATTTTTATTTTATTATTCATAAGAGAGATTTAAAATTAATGATTAATAATGGTGATGATAATGTTCATGTGGCTCAGTGGTAGAGTATTGCGTTAGCAGCGCAAAGTTTGTGGGTTCAATTCCCAGGGAACACACATACTGGTAAAAAATGTATAGCCTGAATGCACTGTAAGTCAATGTCACAATTAGAGGTCGACCGATTGATCGGCCGATTTTTTTTGCATTTAATTAATCGGCATCGGCCGATTGTGCTGCAAATTAGGCCGATTTATAGGCCGGTGCACTGGCGGGCAGGCAGCTAAGCGTTGTTGCGGAACTCCCTCTGGCTGCGTGAGATGGAGCTGCTCACGCTCTGAAGGCTGCAGCAGCTGTGGCTTGTTCACACACAGCCTCAGCTAATGGCAGGGTAAAACAGACCGTTTCGAAAGCAGGATTACGTTTTACCTTACTAGACTTGATGCCGGAAAGTTATATTCATAAGTGCAAGTCATTTGCATGTGAAAGTAGAAACGCGTTCAATTCAGATGAAACTTCTAGGCTGATTATAACGTGCACGTTAACTTTCCTCATGAAATGTGTCTGTGGGTCCGACAATAGCCTCCACAATGTCATATATTCGCTCCTTCAGAACTGTTTTGAGAAGGTGCTTAAGTTTTGAGCCATGTATTATTACTCTAAATTGGGCTACTACTACCATTACTATCTTGTACCATGCAATAATCATTTACTCAAACTCACTTTTATGAGATTAATGAAAAAAAAAAAAAAAGAAAATCGGCCAAAAAAATCGGCATCATATATCGGCCATCGGCTGCCCTGATTTCTAAATATCGGCATCGGCCAGTGAAAAACCCATTTCGGTTGACCTCTAGTCACAATGCAAAATATCTTGATCACAATTTTCTTTATAGAACAAATCATTTCTAATATAATTTGTAATGCCAGAAAAATTTATCGTAATTGTGCATTATGATATTATTCATTACATCTGAGTGCATCTTATCCCAAATTCTAGCAAAATCAATATTTTTATTTATTTATTTTATTCCTATTATTTGCAATAGAGATTTTAATAGAGATTATTTTTTTTTTAAACAATTCCCAGTAATAATATTTAAATCCGCATAAATTAAAGGCTGATGTGTATATATATATATATATATA